TATTCTGTTCAGATATATATATATATAACCAACTTTTCTTTTTTTCCTTGGGCTTGGGAAGGAGGCAGTAATATGGCACAAAACTCAATAGGCCCTACCTTGATCCCATGGTCTTTTACTGTATGATAAATCCCCTAAAATTACTGGGAGATTCCAAACTACGTACAAATTGAAGTACAAATCATGAAATCTGTCTCTCTAGCAAGGCCTGTATCTGCTTGATAGCCAGTAGTCCTGGTCCTAAGATGATGTTTGGTATGTAGCAGGCTCTCAGACTTGTTGAGTGGTTAACATGCAGGTATAAACTTCCTTTCCCTGTTTTCTAAATAGGAGGTAATTTTGCCCAAAACAGGAAAATATAGTAATAACTATACAGTTTTCCTTGTAGCCCAAGGACTCCTTTACTGCCTCTTTGTTCCAAGTATTACCACTCATAGCTATCATGTATTAAGTGCCTTTAATGTCCCAGTCAAAATTTTAAAATTCTAAATTTTCATGATAGCCCCAAGGGTGTATTATACCTTTAGAAGTAAAACTTAAGCCAAAGGGCCACAAAGACAAATTGAGAAAGTGCAACTAACTCAGGTCTCTGATTTTCAAGCACATTCTTTTACCACTTTATAACCTTATTTGGGAAAAAAAAAAAACCAAACATTTAATGGAAACTGCTCTATCTTGAGACAAAAAAATCTTACCATGCATTTCCACACATAGTGACCCAACCTTAAGGACACCACTGCCAGAAAGTGCATTTTATTTTCATTTTATTGAGAGTTTTCCAACAGCTGCCATTCAGTTTATATAGCAATTTTTTAAAGTAACATTTTTCCATTTTTGATGTTTTTAATGAAAATTGCTTTAAAGCCCTTTCCCTCCCCCAAAGAAGTGTTAATAACTGCCATGTAATGTTTATTTAGGAGAGAAAAAAACAGCTTTTAAACACTTGTGAAGCAGAAACATGAGTCCAGACCTAGGCCAGCTGGGTGGCCGACTGCCCAGGTCACCATCAGTATTTCAGTCACCGTCCTCACCAGCGGCTCTGGGCCCTGTACCGACCCTCTGGGGCTTCTTGTTCCACAAGTTCCACTCCCCTTCTCCTTTCCCCCTGTTGTGGGTGCTTTCCCTTCCAAATGTGTCCAACACAAGCAGTATCACCTTTAATACGTGGTCAGTTTTGTAAGTGGAGACATGACACTGTATGTAGAAAGTTCAGAGATTCTCCCATCCAGTCTAGGGGAAAAAGAAACATCCAACCCAGCACTGATCATTTTGCTTTCCTGTCTGCTCAAGCACATGCTCACTGGATGGATCTATGAGATACTTCAAAAGTCCTGACATGTAGCAAATAGCACAAAAGTTTCTTATAAAAAGTTGAAAATTATAAAAATTTCTGTAGCAATTGAGGTTCCTTTTATGGAACTTTGGATGGCAAAGCTGGTTCTGAAAAGGAATTTCTTTGACACACACAGTAGCTTCTCCTATGGAACCCTATGTTTAGAGGCTTTCATCAGCACAGGAAGTTTCAAAATCCAAGGTTACAAGGCTCTTGGCTGCCATAGTGGCATACCCTTCAGTGGCATATTTCCAGCCATAAAAAGAACCACCTAGACATGTCATGGATGAGCCTCAAAAACATGCTACATGAAAAGAACCAGACAGAAGCCACACATAGCGGATGAGCCCACTGACCCAAAACTTCCAGAAAAGGTGAATTTATAGAAACAAAGCCGATGGGGGTGGACCAAGGCCTGACTAAATGAGCATGAAGGATCTTATCAGGAGGGATGAAGATATTCTAAAGCTAAGTAATGGTTACAGTGCACTACTGAGGAAGGTTACTGAAACTACTGACATGAACACTTGAATGTGTGAATTTTATAATACGTATCATTGAAATTGTTTATGCAATAAGGATTCCCTGCTCACCAACCACCTATCAAGCATTAAACGTTTTTGAAAGCTTGCAACAGATTATCACTTTCTGTTGATTTATAAGGTGAAACTTCTTACTGTTTTATAGAAAATAATTTTATTAACTATAAAATAGTAAAATATTTAAAATCTTTAATCTTATGGGGCTAGGGATATAGCTCATTAGTAGAGTGCCTGGCATGTGCAAGGCTCTGAGTTTCATCCCCAACATTGAAAAAAAAAATCACTTTCATATTTAAAAAGTATTAAATAGGCTAAAAGTGTTTGTTTTTAAATAAAAGGCAGCCAATAAGAAGGTAGAAAGCTGAATATATCTTGCAATGAGACTCAGCAAAATCTAAAGAGGCTTGACAAATTTTGTAAATAAAGATGGTGCATCTGTCCTCTTACAGATGTCTCTCCTGTCCTCTGGGAATGGAAAGTATATATCTCTTGGCTGTCACCCTATGAAGATCAATGTATTTACATATCCTATTCTCATAAATCCCCTAAACATGAGACTAGGAACAGCAGTGGAGGGTTGGGTAGTGAGGGCAAAAGGCCAAGTAATCTCCTTGGGTAGATTTCTTGCTCCTCTGTCTCTGCCACAATAGCAGAAAATTTCTCCCATAGCTTCTCAGTATGGGGGAAGATGAAGAGGAAGGGGGTGCTTTTCAAATCAGGATTAACCAAGTCTGTGGATGAAATTCCCAGGGAGCAGAGCACAGGCTGTACCATACACAGTGACCAGCAGAACCAACCTTCCCTACAGGCAGCGAAGAGTGAAATGACTCGTAAGAAATGTGGCAGGGGGTAAAGGTGTCAAGGAGCACCAAATCAGGGTCATTTCACAGGTTTCTTTTACACACTTGTCATGATGACTATATTTACATTACCCTGGAGGAGAGTGGCTAGGAACACACAGTCTTTCCCAATAGGCAGACATTTCCAAATCTTGGTCAACTTTGTCATTTTTCTGCTAATTCCCATACCTCAGGATTACTTGGCCCAAGCAAGGTTATTAGCTTGTAATGCCAAGCCCCTTACTAAAGAGGCCTAGCCCACAAATCACCAGAGGGCAGATTCTGGACACAGCAGTTCATGTCTACCTCGGGCAGTGGTGGCAAATCCACGACAAGCGTGTCTTAGTGGGTTGTTATCACTGAAAGCGCTAAAAGGCTCACCATCACTGACCTACGGTTTGCAGCAGTCTAATGCAAAAAGATTCATTCTGCTTCCTTTGGCTGCATCTTCCCACAACTTTCTGCTCTAACATGTTAACTGCCATTGTGTTCACCTGGCATCCTCAGCCTCTAAAAGCAAGGAAAGCTTTGACATTATAGCAATAAATGATTTGAGAAACGCTGCTTAGCATTTCACTAAAAACATTTACAGTTAACATTATAACCCTTTTTTTTTTCCCTTGTTTACGGTACCAGGGACTGAACTCAGGACCTTGCGCTTGCCAGGCAGATGCTTAAGCTGCAGAGCTATCTATCTCCCTGGCCCAAACCTTATAACCTTGGAAAGATATCTCAGCTATGACTTGGGAAACAGAAGTTTTACAAAGATCTAGCCTTTTCTTCACAATCTTTCCTGGCCTGCTCTTACATGATACCTAAAAGTCACCCTACTGTCATAGAAACTGGCCCAAGACCCAGAGCAGATGCCCAGGGCTGGGTTATAGTCTCCAAATTTCTGTTGAAGTTTAAAGGTCTGGAAAAACTGAAAAGACATTCTTTTAAATTTTTTTTTTCTTGAAGAAAAAGAAATTATTTCCATCTTAGAGCTTTTGTGTCAAATAAATAATTAACAAATAAACTAACACTGGAGCCAGCCAGATTGGCAACTGTTAAAAACACACATTCCATTTCTATAAAAATTCTCAAAACTTCCAGTTGCCAAAACAAAGTAATAGTGAAGATTCAACATCAAAATTATCATTTACAAATACAAGCCTTGCCATTAAAGGGCAAAAGTGTCTAGCCTGGTTTGTACCCAGAACCTCTTCTAAGAAGAAAAGTCTGAGATTGAGAAGCCCAGCCCTTACTTGGTGGAATGTCTATAAGACCCACATGACTTTTCTGCTAAGAAGCTGGCAAGCACCTTTAGAGGTGATCCTGAGGCCTGGGGGAAAATCATGTCCCCACCTCGCAAAATAATGTAGACACAAAAGAGTTGGGCCACAGGAGGAATCACTGGAAGCACTACTCTTATTCATGCCACAAGGAATCACTTTGCTAGCTGCTGCTTCTCTTAATGTAGTTGGTACAGGGTCTCACCACGCAGCTTGGACTCATAGTGATCCTCTCAGCCTCCCCAGCGCTGGGGTAACAGGCATGTGCCACCATGCCTGGTCTGCTAGCACAGTGCCTGTGTCAGTAGGACACGAAAATTTAGTCCTCAGATTGCAGGTCATCTGGCAGAGTTATCTTAGTTTTGACCAATCATGCTTTGTGAAACCATGCTGAAGACTGACATCCAAGATGGGCCAGCACAGCAGAAGGCAAGACGAGCCCTCTTGGACCACACTGAGATTAGCTTCTCCTAGGATCAGAAGAGTCAACCCTCAGGATGGGCAAATAGCCACTCCAGGTCCCTGTAGGGCTTTCCAGGTGGCAGCCAAACAAGCGTCCACTATTACACTCTGATGGAGCTACTCAGGGTCTTGCAAAAGGTTCTTCTGGTAACCACAGCATATGTCCAACAGCTTTCAGCATCCTGAACTTGGACTGGCCAGTGGAGACTGAAGCAGGAACAATAGTACAGGAGAGAGATTTCCTCTACTTATGTATTTCAAGTGCCCTTTCCTTATTAGAGGCAACAAACTCAGATGAAAGTTGGAATAAAGATGTTTCTTTGAATATTCAGAGTTCTCCTTGGAAAAGAATGAACAGTTGCATTCTCTCAAGGCAGAGGCTTTGGGAATTAATGTGCTATCCTCCTATGACACATGACCTAATGATGCCACCTTATGGACTGGGACAGAAGTTGTAGGTTTATATTTTGAATTTGCATTACTATGTACCTGTTCAAAAAGTCACTGAAAGAGGGGCCAGGGAGATGGCTCAGTGGAATAAGCACTTCCCTAGCAAGTGCAAGGTCCTGAGTTCAATCCCCAATTCTGCAAAAAAAAAAACAACAAAAAAACAAACAAAAAAACAACTAAAAGACCAAGTCAACAAGGGGCTTCTTAAGAGCAAGAGTTTCTTCCACTTTCCAGACCCTAATCCTTCCAACCAACCTCTGTCTTACATCTACATACTGAATTTACATCGACTTTATTTCAAATTACGTGATTTTTCCCTTATAGGCCTACCGCACAGCCCAGTAGCAGTCACACAAAGGCCACTACCTTCTCAAACCTCTGCAAGTCCTTGTCCTAAGAGCATGACCAGAACAGGACACATTCTCTTTCACATATGACACCGTCATCTACTTTTCTGTACACAAAGGCAGCTCTGGGTGCCCAGGTTAGTTCCAAGGAAGACAACAGGAACACACCCATAGAGGTCAACCTAGAAAACTCAAAATCTGGGTATATGGGAACAGGAACATTTGATAATAGCTTTGACTATCCCAGAGGATCGGGTTTAGTCATGTGGGCAAGCAGGACTAAGTCACTTCTGAGTTCTTTTGCATAATCCTCTTAAGGCGAAGAGAAGTATACACACTGTGTAATGAGCTTCTTGCTACTGTCCTAAAAAAAGTATGTCCTTGAAAAAGTGCAGAAACCTTTTTGAAGAAATTAAGATACCAAGAGAACCAAGTGCTCATGGGTTGCAAAATGACAATGATGATGATGATGATGATGATAAAAAAATAAAAAGTTGTCCTAAAAATGTAAGACAAAACAAGGTTTAAGGATGCTTTCTCCAGGTTAAGCTGATGGCCAGAAGGCCTCTCATATAATTTTGTTAACATCTTTCCTTAGAAACAATAGGCCTCGGGTGGAAAAGAGTCAAGGGGAATAGATACTATGAGTCTATGTGGAAAATCAACACTAAGTTCTCCTTCACCTGGTAATGGTTTAATGGCAGCTGCAAACAGAGGCTTAAGAATAGGACAACAGGGCCAGGGAGAGATAGCTCAGGGGTATAAGTGCCTGTCTGACAAGAGCAAGGTCATGAGTTCCAACCCCAGTACCACACAAACGCACACACACACACAATTAAAAAAAATAGGACAACAGTTACTAAATGACTAAAGTGACAATCACTATGACAGTCCTCCCCCTCTGATTTACAACTTTCACCAACCATCAAAGAGCTACCATAAACCAAGAACTTTAACTCTGTTTTCTGGAATGGGGTTCAGAGCAGGGAGACAGGAACTCAGCGGGGCACTGAGTGCACTGTGGAAACTGTGGGTCGTGGCAGCTGTGCTTCCTATTCTGGTTTGTGCAATATGTTTCTTCAGCTTGCCCCCCTTCCCATCTGGCTCAACAGACTCCACAAGTAGATCTCTGGTATTCCTTGCTCCTGGGTATGCATACGAGAGGTGAGAAGGGTATTTCTTAAATACCCTGCTTTGCTTGGTCAGCTTATTTTGCTTACACACAGACAGCAGGACTTTCTTGATAAAAGAAAAAAATTGCAATTTCCTTAACTTAAAAGAGCTAATTCAAAACAAAATAGGAAACTGCTCCAAATGAAAGTCAGTAGAACAAAAGAGAAATAAATACTCAGAGGCTTATAATAAGACCGAGCACATTAGCTACTCAGAGTCACAGTATCCATCTAACCACCATTCCCCATCCCGGCTGTGCACCCCTTGCCCACCCCATCCCCTCTTCAGCTCTGCCCTTTTGTGCATTACTATCCCCAGATGCGGGGACAGGTAAGTCCTCCTCGAAGCTTTCTCCTGAGTCAGTACTTCACTCCTGGAATAAACTCCTTGGCATCTGGGTTCAGGTTACTTTTGCTCTGATGAAAGAAAAGAAAGAAAAACTGTTAGCAAATCCCAAGGCAACCTACACTTTATTTATTTATTTATTTATTTATTTATTTATTTATTTATTTTCAACCTACACTTTATAACTTACTTTCTCCTCACATTTCTTTCTGGTAGTCCTGGGGATCAAGCCCAGGGCAAGTGCTCTTCCACTGAGCTGCCTCCACAGCTCCCTCTAGTGCCCGCCCCTTTCCATTATTGTCAGTACCTTCCCTTCTGCCTTAAGTAGAGAGAAAAAGACTTCCTGTGACCTGGACTGGATTGCTCTCAGCAGCGCCTAATATACTCAGCCCTCAACAAGCTCATTTTCTCCTTCCCACTTGAGGCTCCACTCTTTTATGATACTTTCTAAAATTTCACCAAAAGCCTCTAAATTCAACTCCAAAAAGAATTTTTCAGTTCACTGAATATATTAATCTGGTAAAAATCTGGGTATTATGTGAAACCAGGCAAGACACCATGATATTTTTTTTTTTCAAGCCAGGGATTGAATTTGGGATCTTGTGCTTGCAAAGCAATCATACTCTACTGTTCTTCATCTTTCTGTACTCTCTTTGATTATTATAAATACTTCAAACCTAGGACAACTACAAGCCACAATCATTGTGAACATGATCTGTATGAGAACTACACTGCTTACAGAATTCCATATCACATAAACATGGAAGCAAGGAGTTAATTTATCTGTTCTACATCTAAGCCTCTCAGGGGACTATGTGTCTTCCAAAATGAACAGATAATTTTATGAAAGAATCACTCAAAAGAAAGGGACAGCACTAGATGTTCATTTCAAACCAAACTTCTTCAGTTTCCAAAAATTTATCTCTCATCCCACTTCTTAGAAAAACCCACTGGGAGAAAACTAAAGTTGGGCATGCTGGCAACACTGTTCCTTTCACGGTGCTGTGTGAGGAGTGGCATGACTTCACTATGCCCTCATCAATGCCTGCCTGAGCACTGGAGAAACAGAGGTGAAGATGGCTCCAGAGAAAATGTGCTGACGGCCATAAAACCAGCAGAGTCTGTGATCCCAAAGCCTACACTCTTCTTACTACATCACGTGTACATGGTGCTTACCAAAATATCTTCCGAATCATGCCCATCACTGACTGATAGTCCATTTAACTGTTGCTGCAACTGTCCCATGGCCTGAGGCAGGTCTCGTGCTGGAATAAACCAGTCTTGGTCTTCCTCATCTAGCATCTCCTGAAAGCAGCGGTCCAAGAAGTCTTGCTCCTGCAGCTCCTCCTCTACCTGGCAAACAAAGGAGAGTAGGTCAGGTGTACTAATCCAGGGGGCTCATCCTTTCGAGGGTTTTCCCCGATAATCCTTTCCTTCAGAGGTTACTACTCTGCAACCCAGAATGATCTCATTCAAGACCTAAGAATTAACATGCTTCTAATGGCTGCCTAGACAAAATAATTTTCTTTTACCGAATTCCAACAAGACTAAAAGATAGCTATGCCAAAGAGCAGAGCTCATTCCTATTACTTTGTTTAGTGAAATTTGGTATCATTCATTTTTTGTATCATTTCTAATGCTGTTTTTTTAAATTACTATTTTGTATTCTTTAAATTTTTTTTAAAAAAAAACAGCAGAACTCCTAGGTCTTCACAGACCTTGTAAGATCTATACTATCTGACACAGATATTTTCCACTTATAATGGAAAATCACATTATAATTGATTTTCTATCCTGCAGAAATTCTATCTTGTATAGACAGAGCTCCCTAAATTTCCCACAAAAAGAGAACAGGTAGCACATAAATACCAATTGGTAGTGAAGATTAAACCAAAACCAATTCTCAGGTCCTGGGCCATTTTCTAGTAATGACACCCCTAAAGCAGAAAACTACAAAGCTTTAGAACCTTAGATATAACGAATGCATTTTGGTGTATCAGTGTAGTATTCTCTCAAAACAAGAAATACATGAATATATAAACAACTCTGTATTTCAAAATAAAGCAATATAAACCTAGACTATCTTACACTTTGCAGACACTGTATACTTAGTGAGAATATAGTTTATCACACAGGTTTCTTGTTTTGTTTTCTGAGACAGGGTCTCATTAGCTGATTCAGGCTAGTCTCAATCTTGTCATCCCACTGCCTCCACCTCCCGAATGCTTGAGATTACAGGCATGTGCTACTCTGCCAGGCTCACTGTGCAGATTTTAGTATAACTACTTCTTTTCCTAATTCATATTTGGCAAACCCCTCTTTCCTTCAGCTTGCTTGATGACAGATTCACAGTTCACTAGCATCACCACTGGTAGGGAGGTCAAGCAGAAAATAATTCCAATTGGCCTGGTGAGATGGCTCAGTGGTCTAAAGCACCTACTTAGAACAAGGTTAGCAAAGCACAGGGACCGCGGTTCAATCCCCAAGCACCACATGCCAGCCAGCCCTGCCCCCTGGTGGGCTGAGCTGGCCACACACACACACACAAACACACACACACAAATAAATAATTTTTTTTAAAAAAGTGAAAAAAAAGAAAATAATTCCAATCAACCCACCTTTACCTCATGAATTCAGAAGAAAAATCACTTGTAGCAAGACTTTAAAAATAGTATTTCAGTGTCACAATTGACCACATATTTTATTAACCTCAAGTGAATCATAAAATTATTATAAATTCTTAAAATAACTACAGCAAAATATTTCCAAGCCAAAAGATTTAATGACTGTGTTTGAACATTTCCTAATATTTTCTTTTTTTTTGTATTTAGTACAGGATGTACAAGGTCTTACTACATAGGTCGGACTCCTAGTGATTCTCCTGTTTTCAGCCTCCCAAGTGCTGTGATTACAGGTGTGCACCACCACACCCGGTGTTTCTAGTATTTTCTCTCTTAATTCTTTTTCTAACACTCCCTTTTTCTGCACTTGGTACTGGACCAAGGGCCTCATGCTTGCTACACAAGCACACCTGCCACTGAATGAGATCTCCAGCCCTCCCTATTCTTTATATATATACCCTATCTGAAACATTTTACTTTTGTTGTTTCTGTTTTAAGGCTTTACCAGTTGAATCCATTTCCTTTATTGTAGCAATAATCCATTTTCTTTATATAAGAGTTTTGAAATTAGAACTACAAAAATCAAAATGCAAACATCTCCCTTAATCTCAACAATCAGACATGGATGAATGTTGCCAACAATTTGGAATATACCTATTGTAACTTTTACTTACTATACTTTCACAGGAAAATGATGGGAGCTTAAGAGTTTAAAAAAAAAAAAAAAACACTTGTTAGAAATATATATGCAAATGAGCGATTTAAAAATTCACCAAATATTTTGTGTATCTTTCCACATTGTAGGTAGATGAATTGGCCACCCAAGTCTTTTTCTCTTTTCTCTTAAAAATTCTGTGTGGAATAAGGACATGGTGGCAAACAATGATAATCCTAGAACTCTGGGAGGTTAGAGCAGGAGGATCACAAGTTTGAATCCAGCCTGAGAAACCTAGCAACCTATCTCAAAATTTAAAAAAAATAAATAAAAAAATTGTGTGTAGGATGAAGGACTTATATCATTCACAAATATAACTAGATCGTTCAATCTTATTTAGTTCCTTAGTTCCTGAGTTATACTTCTGGAGATCTTAAATAAGTGTTACCTTGATTGGGAATTTGTAATGGTTTATATCTAGATGTCCTCCCAAAGCCTCAGGCACTCCTAGGTGGGGCTTTGGGGAGCTGACTGGATCATGGGGTGTGACACTCATTGGTGAATTAGTCCTCTGATGAGGTTATAGCTAAAGTAATGCTGGGAGGAGGTGGGTCATGGGGGGTGTGGCTTGGAAGGGTCTAGCTCCTTCCCTACTCCCTTGATCTCTCTCTGCTTCTGACTGCCATTCCATGAATAGTTGCTCCTCTACCACACTACCCTGCCTTGGAGCCAGCCAACTCTTTCCAAGTTGGGTTGTCAGGTTTTGTCTCGGCAACAAGAAAACACTAAGACAAAATTGATTCATTTTCTCCTGAAAACAACACTTCAATCCAATTCTACCAGCCTCACACTTGATAAATATCTTTGCAGATTTTAGGATGACTTTACTGGGCTTCCTCATTCATATTTGGTGAGTCCTTTTACTTTAGCCTGCTTAGTTTCGGGGTTCCAATGTTCTATACTACATGTCTTGAGTTGAATTTTGAGAAAAAATTAGGTTCTAGATAGTAACCTGGACACAGTATTTTTTTTTTGGACACAGTATTTTTTGACACTCCAACAAAATATGTAAGAAAAAAAAATAGTAAGATGAAACAATTTGATAGTAATAAGAACCCTACAATCCAACATAGTGAAAACAAAGTGACCTACAAGGTAGAGGAAAAATGGTATCAATCAAATCCCAAATCCTAAACTCCCAGTTCTCAAATGAAAGACAAGTCAGTCTTCTCTGAAACATAAAATCCTCCACATCGACTCACATAACAGTTCAAAATAATGTTGTCAAAGTAGTATTTCCTATGAAACATTAGGGTTGAGGAAATTTGAGCAAACAATTATTCACCTGATCAGCCCTTTGAAAGGTCTGATATTTACTGCAACCCTTAAAGTTGCCAGGGATATAGCTATCATTGTTTTCCTAGTTCTCAACCAAGTTATAATTTTTAAGGCTCCTAAAAATACTGTGCATGAGTGTGTGTGTGTGCAACACGTGTTCTTGCAAAAAACTAGCTTTCCACTACTTTTCCACACACCTGCATGAGACATAAGAGCTCACAGCTGATACAGTCAGTATAGACATCTAGCTCTTAATAGTCCAAATCCTAGTCAACAGGCTTAAGAGCATGTCAGTGAGTATAATCAGAGCCAGGACAAATCAGTTATGCTTTCTACAATCAATTTTTTTTCATTCAGAGGCTAGATTAAGGCAGAGTAGAACAGGTATGTCACCATAAAAGCCAAACACAACTACTCTAAAACCCCACAGAAAATATATTTATCTTCACTCAGAGTTCTTAATAATCTGCATTTATTTTCAAAATAAAGTACAGAGTATTCCATGTCTTACAAGCCAATAAAATCAATAACCCATAGCTGGGCATGGTGCATCTCTATAATCCCAGAATGCAGGAGGCTGAGATAGGGGGATCACCATGAGTTCATGGCCATCCTGAACTACATGGTGAGACCCTATCTCAAAACAAGCAAACAAAACCAATAACCCCCAAAGTATACAAAACTCACTATCACTGTTCCTTATTGCTCCACATGTCAAGCTATTAATTCTATGCTAATCATGTGAAATCATGCCAGGCATGGTGGCACAAGCCTATATAACCTTGGTACTCTGGAAGGCTGAGGCAGTAGGATCGAAAGTCTGACCCCAGCCTAGGAAACGCAGAGACATTACAAGAAGATGTCAAAAAGGATGGAGAATGCAGCTCAGTATGAAAGTCCTGTGTTCAATCCCCAGAACCACATTCACAGTCACAAACACAAAGCTATGGTCAGGTCATGACCTCAGTCCTTTGGGATTAGTGAGAGCCCTGTTAGATTTTTAACTCTAGGAATCTCCCTCAGTGTTTTACAGTCATCTACAGAAATCCAATAAACAATCTTGTCAGAATGAGGATCGGAGTAGCAGGGCCTCTCCACAGCAATTACTGTGTAACTTAATATCAAAGTACAATTACTACTCAGCAGAACTTAGCTCTGTATGAGCTCATCAGGTAAGAATTTTCAGCTGTCAGCTGATTAATCTGAAGACTTGTCCTCTTTTTTTTTTTTTTGCCGAACTGGAGATTGAACTAAGAGCCTTGTGCTTGCCAGGCAAGTGGTTATTCTACTGAGCCATCTCCCCGGCTCCCTTTTGTCCTCTTTTAATCAGCATGGTAGAGAATTCTCATTGTTTGGTCTTGTTATTTATTTATTTATTTATTTATTTATTTATTTATTGTGTGTGTGGCCAGCTCAGCCCACCAGGGGGCGGGGCTGGCTGGCATGTGGTGCTGGGGGATTGAACCACGGTCCCTGTGTTTTGCTTAGTTTAGCTTGTTCTAAGTAGGTGCTTTAGACCACTGAGCCATCTCACCAGCCCCTGGTCTTGTCTTTTAGCACTGAAGATGCTTTTTGGGCATTCCAGCTGAGGCCTCCAAGTATTTTTTTTTTAAGTTATTATAAAGCAAACTGCACCCGTTTCTCTGGTTTTTCTCTTTGTCAAAGTGACAGTAAAATATTATAGCTGAGTTCCATGTAGCATTAGGGTTTCACTTCTTTACCTGTCTGTTGAAATCCTCTTCATTCTCCATCCACATGTACTCTGCAAATGGGTTTTCCTTCTCATCATGCCCATTTAATCCCTGGTCCTCTTTGGATTTCACACTGGGGGAAGTATTTGCCACACTGGGTCCATTCATTGTGCTAGAATATAAGCAGAATTGAAAGGTTAAGAAGAATGTAAGAATCAAGCAAATACATATAAACCTAAAACATTCTAATTCTTTTAGAAGCTTCTGTAGTTCTGAACCAAAGATTTTTGGGGGCCAGAGAGATGGCTCAATGGAATAAACACTTCCCTGGCAAGCGCAAGGGCCTGAGTTCAATCCCCGGTTCCGCCAAAAAAAAAAAAAAAAAAAAAAACAAAGACCAAAGATTTTTAACTTAAAGGAAGAGAAACTGTTGAACTGTAACTGTTTTTAAAGAAATGAACTGCATCCCTTGCAGCTACCAAATTATAGGCATACCTTTTTTTTTAAAATGTCGCTTATTAGTACATGTGTAATGTTTACATTTCTTGTGGGAAGTTGGTACATGTACATAACACACATTCTTTTTTTTTTTTTTTTTTTGCATCTTCTATTCTCCCACACAAAAACAGACATGAGGATTAATGGTATAGAATACTGGACCCAGAAATAATCCCAAGTATATTTCAGCTATTTAATCTTAGATAATGGGCTAAAAACTTACATTGGAGAGAAAATTGCCTCTTTAATGTATGGTGCTATGAAAACTGGCTATCCACAGGGAAAAGATTGAATCTAGACCCCTACCCCTCACCATCTACTAAACTAAAATCAAAACAGATCAAAGGACTAAATGTTAAACCAGAAACAATCTGCAAGAAGATAAAGCAGGCAAAACTCTTTAAATTATAGGCATAGAAAGGACTTTCTGAACAGAACCTCAGTTGTTTCATGCTCCAAACTATAGGAAATAGTCTTTGGAATCACTTCAAAGTTAAAGATGAACAATTCTTGAAGGATTAAAACAAATAGCTAGGCATAGTCTTTCTAGGTAAGAGCAATAGGGTGGGATAGAGGGTAGAAATTTTCCAATGCCAAATTTCCTCTACAACCTAATCCAGAACACCTTCCTTAATGTTTAAATAGAAAGTGTGTTCTTAAGAAAAATTGGAAATACCACTGGCTCCTTATTCTGATTCAAGCTCTTTTTCTTTTTCTTTTTTTTTTTTTGGCAGAACCAGGGATTGAACTCAGATCCTTGTGTTTGCCAGTCAAGCGCTTATCCTACTGAGCCATCTCCCCGGCCTGCTCTTTTTCTTTAAAACGTTTTTCAAAATAATATATGTCCATTGTATTAATAAGCAAAAAGAAAAACTTCACTGCCCATCCCACCATCTAGAGTTCAGAACAATTAACAATTTGGTATACATAACCTTCCTGTTACCCCCGATATAAAGATACACATTCCCCAAGTATTCATTCCTTTTCTTGTGGGGGGGGGGTTCTTTTTGAGACAGGGTTTTGCTAGGCAGCTCAGGTTGGCCTTGAACTCACTTTGTAGCCCATGCTGGCCTCAAATTTGCAATGATTCTCCTGCCTTAGCCTCCTGAGTGCTGGGATTACAGGCGTGTGCCTCCATGCTTGGCTGTCTGGCTAATTTTTGATGACTGTCTTGAGTGTAACAGTTTTTGAATCCATTTAAAAAAAAATATCTGGTACAGGGTCTCACTATGCAGCTTGGATTACGGTAGTGTTCCTCCTGTTTCAGCCTCACCAATGCTGGGATTACAGGCACGAGCCACTGTACCTGGTCGCAGTGGCCAGCTCCACGCCTGGGGTGGGGCCAGTGCTGGATGTGGTACAGGAGATCGAATCTGAGTCCTTGCGCTTGCCTAGGCTAGCGCATAGACCTCTCAGCTATCTCCATGGCCCACATCCATTCTCAATAGTAAAAGAAACACATGATACATGATGCTTCACTATTTCTTTTTCTTATTTCTTTTAATATAGCCATACTACCTACTGGAGTGTGTCCAATGTTTCTGTATTATAAAGCATGGATGAACTTCTTGTGTTCCTTTTTTTCTAATGATTTCCTTAGAGTAGCTTCAAGAAATGGAACTGCTACATTGGAGGCTATTTTATTTAAGGCACTTGATTTATTATCATTCTGCCATAAAAATTTTAATTCCGGGGCTGGTGAGATGGCTCAGTGGTCTAAAGCACCTACTTAGAACAAGCTTTAGCAAAGCCCAGGGACCACGGTTCAATCCCCCAGCACCACATGCCAGCCA